TAGAGATGCACTGTATTTGATTAGAGACGTTTCTTTCCTAAACAAGGCCTCAGTAAGCACTGCTACACAACACGTTGGAAGAGTTCCAGGGTTCTAACTGTACACTGTGGATTTTTTGCCATTTGTTACGCTTAGAGAAAGTAAACATAGCCTTTCTAAAATCATCCCAGCCTTGACCCTTCCACAGACTTACAGTCCACAGTCTATTCCCATTGCCCTAATAGGATCTGATACCATTTGTGAGACATTAGTGAGCAAAGGTAAATTTGAAAGAGACTCCCCACCACAGCAGCATTATTTTCTTTGGCTAGCATAGTTGTTTGGGGAGCCAGCACAAGAGCCTATTGACCACCAGCACTGCCAAACAATGTCAGCAAACACATTTTAATATTATGCCCATGACAGTGCAGCAGAGCAACCAAATACCAGCAAATACATCATGAGCAAAACTAGCCTTGAACCATTTCTCCAGAAACAAAGCCCACGCTTTCTGGCTCAGTTTACTGCCTCTTGTCTGTGATGTCTATTATCTCATCGCCATCTTGGCTACTGCATTCGACAAGTCTTGTCCCTCTGTTGACCCAACACACAGAGCGAACTGGGCATTCTGTCTGGTGCCAGTCAGAGACCCTGTTGTTGTAAAGAGGTCATAAGTAGAGCCTCTGATCCAATGGTCCAACTAACGGGTACAGTCCTAGCAGTATTCCCACTGTAATCTTCCCACCACCATCTGCCCTGTTCTCACACAAGCTGACCCATCTGTGACATAAAATGTGTATGCATTATGATCTGCTCTAGTAGGACAAAAAAAGTCTGTGTTGGAAGATCCCACACCCCCACAGCCTCTACTCAATATCTACCCGAATTCCTGCTCCTTAAAAAGGACAGATATCATTCATAGGGCCATTTCAAGTGCCTGACAAGGCCTTTAAATGGATGATAAACTGGAAGAAAAAGGAGCTCTTCTCACACAGTGATGCAGAAAGTATAGATAGTGGGACTGATCACAGATTGCAAACAAGCAGACTGTGTATTGGGATCTGAGTATCTAGAGTGTGAGAGAGAGAGAAAAAGAATAAGATATAGTCGAGGGGCAGCAGGAAGGAATGCAGAGTGCATAAGAGGTGAATGAGGTGGGTGGGAGAAGGAAATGACCGAGTTTAAACTAACAGGTTAATTAACAACACAATTGATAAATCCAGTCGGGCTATATTAGCTTTTCCACTCGAGTATGACCCCAGAACTTCCCCATTTCTCCGAAGGGGATTAGTAAAGTATGCATGAATGTATGTATTTGGATATGCATCGACGTACCTATCAAAGAAAAACAAACTGTGCTCCATTAAAAATAGGTAAAACATTATTATGATTAGCATTGTATCTCCCTGGTGTAAAACACATCTGGAATGATTTTTCGGCAGTCTATGACAATATAACTTTGAGTAACATTTTTTTTGAAGGCTACCTTCATAGGGACTTCATAACACATACTTAAGTTTTTAAGCATTGAACAATTCATAAAGCAATACTTGAGCATTTGTGAACAGCTCATGCCAGTCATTGCTAAATGACACTGAATGTTGTATGAAGTGAATGACATTTTCTTGACATTAGGGGCCTTATGGTAGACATGTGTACATTTATAACACTGGTATGAAGAATCATTCCCAAGTAATGGATCTCATGAACATCATGTATCAGTTCTATATAATCTACTTGAGTTAACATGCATGTAAGTTCTATTAAGGAGACTTTAGTGGCTGTGTAATTAACACCTAATTCTGTTGCTTATATTTAAGTAAGGTACAATTGTACTTTACATAGTTTTGAATCTATATATTGTATAGTTATATATTATATAGTCTATACTATATAGTTTCAGAGACCTCCGAATCTTTCAAAGAAATGGTAAATGAAACTCTTAATTAGGCATCTGTCTCCCATTACTTGGTAACAGTGCCTTATAACAATAAATAAATAAATAATATGTTACCCAACCTTGTCAATGAATGGGGTAACATAGACGGAAAGACGTAACTATGTTTTTTTGCATACTCTGATTAATGATCCTACAAAAAAGACCATCATGTGGTTGATAGCTAACTGCACTCTTTTATTTCTTGCATAAAAATCCACTCATACAGCAGCTTGAGTCCCCCGCCTCTTCACTCCCACCTCCAGCAATGAGTAAGTTGGTGGTATCAGCGTACGCTGATTTGGAAAGAGTGATTCCAGATGCTTTCACTGCTGGGACCACTCTGACACATATGTGTGGTATAAACCTGTTACACAAGTAGCTGCTCTGACAGTGTCTGAAGATAAACTGAACGGAATGAATAGAAGTCGTCCCTCATCAACACATGTAACATCAGCCGTTGTGACAGTGTTGTGACAGTGTGATAGTTGTACTCTCTGAATGCGTCTAAGAACAGCACTTCCTCTCATCTCTGACTAACTTGGCTTGGGACATCCATTCAGAGATGTCATTAGCGAAAGCAATCTGAAGTAGAGTGTTTTTAAAAGACACTGCAAGCATTTGGTGGTATTTAAAAGAGGAATTTGTTGACATATACAGTACACCCAAATGAGCGCTCCTTATTTGTTACATTTCCAGTCAACTTCCAGCCGTTAAGCACACACTTTTTACGTTTATAAGAGATATTTCTGAGCTGGTTAGATATATGAGATAGTCCACCTGGGTAAGAAATGGGAAATAAATAAAAAAAACAGGAGTTTCCAAAAATGACGTCCAAAAAATTATTTGAAAAATAGGGAAAATGGGACTACTAACAACCACACAAGACCTGCTAGACCACCAACCCCTTCGTCATCACATAAACAGTATGTAAAGCTTTTATCTTTGAGAGAGAAGAGAAAATCAGTCTCCATTCTGGCTTCAGATCTAAAAAAAACAGATGTTTCTGTCCAGACAACTCAACACTATGACACTGAGGAAATGAAATAGACAAATCAAACAAAGAAGCTGCTGGTGTGCTCAGAACAATAGACTGACCACTTCAGAGTCCAGACCTCAACTTCACTGAATATGCTTAGGATTACATGGATCATGAAAAGTAGAATGTGCAATCAACTACTAAGACTGAACTTTGGAGCTGTGGAAAAAAATGTCCCTGCAGATTTCTTTAAAAAACCAAAAGCAAGACCCCTGAAAAGAATGGAAGCTGCAATAAGGGCAAAGAGTGGACACATTAAATTACAAGTGCATTTTAAACTGCAGTTCCAATTCCTTATTGGTTGATAGGTTCACATACTGCACTGTACATTATATAATAGCACTTGGCCCCAGTATTACACCATCAACTCAGACACAAAGATGTTTTTTATCAGTTTTTTCATACTCAAAGTGCTTTGTGAATTCTCACAGTGAGCACAAAGACATAGCACAATCATGAGACTCATAAATGCAGTTTAAGTGTCATCATCCTCATCCTCTAATATGATACACATGATTGCTGATCAGTGTTATTCAGCTCTACAGAGCTTTGCTGGGAGAGAGCTAGATGATACATACTAAGGATTAAGTGAACACTTAGAAAAGTTTTCAGATAGATTAGGACACTGGGTTCAGTTACATTCTCTATGAACAATTCAAGTTGGTTTATTCTGTGTATGGAAATCCAGACCACAGGAGCAAGTTTACTTTCAAAATGTTCATGCATGTTCATGCAGACTATGTACAAACCAAAGCTTAATTTCTGAATCATACCAGCACAAAGACAAGACAGAATCTGTTGTACATTTGTTTTACATGCTTATTTCAGACAAACTCCAAAGAGTTTTAAGAGAATTAGAAAGGCTTTCGCTTACAGTACTGTGGAAAAGTCAGAGACCACCCTTCATTTATTTAATTAATTTCAGGCCAAAATGTCCATTGAGTTATTTTATTTCATTTTTCAGGAGGAAAATGTTTCTAAGGAGATTAGATATGATGTAATCTGCTTGCTTCATGAGAAGACAACTCAACACTAGAGATCTGAATGGATGTATAGCTGTCAAGAAGCCATTACTGAGAAAAGAGAACAGACAAAAAAAAGAAGAAAACTTTCAAATCAAACAAAAAAGCTGCTGGTGTTTTCTAAACAATGAACTGACCACCCCAGAGTCCGGACCTTAACATCACTGAATGTGTTTGGGATTATTTGGACTGTGAGAAGCAGAAAATGCAGCCAACTTCTAAGACTGAAAAATATGTATTTAGTTCTTGAGGCTTCTACATAATTTTCCATTAAATAATAATCAAAATTTCCTAATGCTGAAATATTAATAACTGGTCTCTGAATTTTGCTGTATGTATGAGCAAATCAAAGAGGACAAACTCCTCATTATAACAATAAATGTAAAACGATGACTAGATACACCCACATTTCAACTTTGAAACTTAATTTTACACAAGAAATCTGATACTAGGCACAGTCAATTTCCTTTTTACTGCTACTCCCTTATCTTTTACCTGCCTTATGCCTGGGATTATCTAGTAGTAAATATATTTATATATCACTGCATGTCTCTCAGCTCTAAAAAAGAACTAAATTAAATGTAATAATCAAAGGATCCCTATTTTGTACTGGGGGAAATTTGCACAAGTACTGCTGATTGGGTTATGAACAAAATTGCACTGCAATTTACAGTCACATGTAAACATGAAGACATTAACATAAACATGCAAGGGGTCAATAGGTCTGCGCCATGCATCCTCACTCCACCAACATGCAGTAAAGTGGAGCAGAATGGAGTGAATGAGCTGAGCAAAATAAAGCATGCTGTTACTCTCCCACTCCCATCCCCACCCACACTGCCATGCACTTCCACCTGTCTCAAGACCACACAGCAGAGACCAAGGACGCACAGACAAACAGATAAACAAATAAAAACGCCTTGGAACAAGTGAACGACACAAACACACAGACAGGTGGCTGCTGGTTCAAAATGCATCTCTCTAAAGGGGCTAAAAAGAGAGATGGCATTCTAACCCGCTTTACCTTTCTGGGCACTAACTGACAGGCACTGATAGCCATCGTCGCTCTCCTCGGGGAGAGAGCTGCACTCCACGGGGAGGCGGCGGCGGCCATCCCCCAGGAGTGTCCAGCAGCTGTCGGTCAGGAGCTCACAGAAGCTGCGGCAGGGTAGCTGTGGAGGCAAACTAGGGGGGCCGCAGCGGGGCACTGCCAGCAGGCAGAAAAACCACTCGGCACCGTGGTGGCAGCCCGAACGCAAGAGCCATGCCCACTCCTGCAACAGTGCCTCCACCTCCTCCACGCTGCTCTGGTTGAGGAAGTTAGGCACCGCAAAACTCTCCACTCCCATCCTGCTGCAAAACAACAAGTCGGAATCGATGGGCAGGCAGCGCGGGGATTCCGCAGCAGGTGATGGACTAGCTAGGAAAGGGCTAGCTAGGAAAGAACGATCAGTTTCTGTGGTTAGTAAATCGCTTGAGACAGAGTATTCGGGAGAATACTGCGTCATGTTATTACCATCAACATGCCAACCAGAACTTTCGCTAGAAGATGTGTTTCTATAACTACTGTTAATTCTGTCAAAAGAAGCATTTCCGCTAATGTTTAATTGACTTTCAATAGAATTACGAATGATGCTCCCTGTGATCATGTTGTGCTTGTCCATCTGAGACAGGTCCTCTCTGGCCAGATTTTGGCCAGTCTCTAACTTAACAGCTCCTAGCAGAACATTTTCCCCAACAACACTAGACAGATTGGTCTGTATATCATAGACTTGCTGGTCTTCCCAAGAAAGTGACCTAGAGGTGGATTTGAGTGCAAACCCAGACTTGTTTCCAACCCTTGACCCAGAAAGAGATCCAGGGACAGACTCCAACCCAGAACTGGATCTGACCTCTGCCTCTAGCTGACCGTTCCAGGCGGAGCCCTCATGACTATCTCCAGAACCCCCTCCACTCCCCATCTCCTCACCCTCAGTAGGGACCTCCGCTGCAGAAGCATGTGTGACCTCACTCCTCAGGTTCTCTACCCAAGGTGCTGTTGAGGGCACACTGGTACTGGGGGTAGTGACAAAGGCCGGCGTCGGCGTGCCCTTGCCTGTGTCCTTGTCCTTGGAGTCATCAAACCAAAACCATCCGTGCGAGTGCCCGACGCACAGGCTCCCGAGCACGCCAAGGCCGAGCCACAGACCGAGCCGAGACATCATGATCACTTCCAATCTTTCAACAGCAACTCACACAGGGTCCTGCAGCAGGCATGCCTCAGCCAGTAATCCTCACACACTCTCACCCGGAGTCACCGCACTCAGCTCTCAAAGCGGGCGGAAAAAGTTCAGAGGAGGAGTAACTATTCAGAGAGAACAGGGGGGGTGGGCTCCTTATTGGACCAAGCTCAGGACTTTTCCTCCCACGACTCCTCCCCCTTCCTTTTGTCTCCACGGTGAAAGAGCGTCTCCGCTGATAGATAATCTTACCAAAAACGCCCGCGAGGCTTCCTTTTGTGTGCACTGGTGCCTCTGAGCAACTGGGACAAATGCCTCTCTAATGGAATTTGGGTTTTTTTCAACTCACTTTTACAGTCTTCATGGAGGCACATGAATTCCACAATCTGTCCCCCTTTCAAGCTCAAATGAACTGTGCAAAATTAGTAGTTAAAGTAGCCTTTAAAACTGGGTTCTGTGAGTAGATTATCACCTAAATCTCTGAATGTAGTTTTTTTCACCCTGATTAAGACAAATGATCGGTTATTTTTCTGAGCCAATGGTTTAGTCCACAATGGCACAGTATATTTAAGCATACATTCACAGAATTATGACATATTTTTTTTACTATCCTTTACAGGATACTATCCTTTTTTTTTTTACATCCTTCAATGCATGATTTGGAAACTTATTGTTTGTCTTTCTCCTCTGCCATAAAGTACAACAGATCCTCTCTCAGGTTCTCCACTTCCTTTGAAATGCATCCAACCAAAAACTCTGGCAGGTAAGACAAATTCCACTTGCATCCAAAACCTGCCTTCTCTGCAAGATAAAAACAAGACTTTTCATTCTCTTAGGTTAAGAAATCCTTTAAATAAATTTAAACTTATTAAAAATACTTAAAATAACTAGCCTTCTGAGTCATACTTCTGGAGGTAGTGGAGGAACATTCTCACCTCCAGCAACATGAGATATCTCCCTAACTCCCTCCTTCTAGCTCTCTCTTTCTGGTCAACATAAATTGCTCTGTTTGGCTCTACCTCACAATTACTTTTCCACCATGTCCACCCCCAACTCTCCATGCAGGGAGTAGCTACTCACTGATCCAGGATTGTCTTTCTTGTTCAGACAGGCCCATCATAGCAGGTAACAGAGACCATCTAACATGTGTTAATGGGAGCTGTGAGGCGGAGTATTATTACAAAAGAAAGACGTAGCTGTAGCACACTTCTGCAGAGGAAATGTTTGAGGGAGAGTGCAGTGTTTGTTCATGTAAAGGCTGCTCGCTTTCCATTTGTTGATAGAGGAGCGTGCATGCATGGTTGCCCATGGCTTTCTCTCCTATATCATCTGTCTGACTGCAAAGACCACCTCACACATCAGCCCAGCAGAGCACTTGGTCATGGGGGAGGGAGAAGCAAATGTTTTTGTCATGCATTAGAGTGTAATGTGGCATAATAGTGTCATACTAATTCACTGTAAAAATAATAAATGTTTCTCTCTAGCAAGCAAGACCACACAGTTAAGAGTAACAGACAACTAAACGAGGTGCAATGACAGCCTTGTGGCTCTCAAGTATGTCCAAACAGGTACCAGATGAAATGAGGCATTTAGAGCAATAACAGCTTTAAATAAATACATGGACAGGGCCACAACTCAGTTTGGCAACTGTTTGGACTTTTTTTAAACATCCTCCTTAAGCACACAAGGAGGCTCAGTGTGCTAAGCTGCCCTAATTAGCTCACAAATCTAAAGCTGGACATTGGATTAGAGAGCAGTCACGGTGAGTTTAATCAAACATTGCTTATTTGACATAAATAGACAAAAAATGAAAGAAAAGAGGAAAGGAAAGACTTTAGAAGTCACTGGCATCTATAGAAGTGTTATAGTTTTGTATTAAACCGAGTAAGAGGAGGGAACAATGAACAATGTGGAGATTTCAGAAGAAAAAAAAAAACACGCCCCTCACGGAGAGATTGAGATCCTTGACCTCTCCTCGTCACAAGCCATTAGCCAGGAAACATGGCCAAAATGAGTGGGGCTGTCCGTGGTGAATGTGGGAATGACATTAACAAATGCTGAACAGCACTTCGCCCCGTGCCAAAACCCACAATGGAAAACACTGTTGTGCCCCAAGCAGGAACATACTTCAGTTATTAGATTTCACGAGGATACTGACGTTTTTTTTTTTTTATATGAATGCATTAAATATACATTAAACCTTTGTTTGGGTAGTCCACAAGAACTGCACTTAAAATTCTAAAATTATAGCAAATATTAATGACTATAAAATTTAAGCATCACAGACGAGCAAACAGACTGACTGATGCTGATAACCGCTGTTTATGTGTTCATATCTGTCACATTTATAGTGCATGCTTTATACTTTTTCAGTCGCCCCCTCCAAAATATGCTGTCAGCCACCCAAGTACATTTTGTCCCATTTTAACAATGTCTAATTTCCATTTTGCCCCAGTTTAACAAATTTCAAAGAGAAAACAGTGTTTGTACTGGCGAAAAGCATCACTCTTTTTTTCTTGTGCTCATTTGCACAACCTTAACCATTAGCCAACCACATTAGGTGCCTCCCATATAAAATCTAAAAACAGTAAAGGTGTAACCACTTATTTGGTTCCTTATTTCAATAGCTGAATAAGTAAGTAAACGCTATGATGAGTTTGGATATCTATATACTCAAAAAACCTCAACCAGCCCCCCGTGGTGGACCATAGTTTCAGTCCCAGAAGTAAAACTTGTTTAGCTGCTTGTTACCACATGAAGTATTTTTATTTAGGTTGAACTGACAAGCCATTTTTTTACAGCGCACTGGGTCAAAATTGAACCCGAAAACCAAAAAAAGCTGACAATAAATAAAAACACAGCTTCACACAAACACAGAAAAATAAAAACTATTAAGTAATAAAGCTTATGATGTCCTGGGAGCTAGCACCTCAGAGAGGTATTTGCAAAAATAGTTATTGTATTCCCTATTAATACTCAACATGTATCTCTTAAACAATGTCCCATCCAATAGTTCCACATGACCAACACTTTCACTGTTGACCTTATGCTATTCAAACTGTTTGAACAGGTCTGCGCTGACCAGAACAGGAAAGTGGAGGGAATAAACAACAATTTCAAATACTATTTCTGATTTTCTTTACCATTTAACTTATCTGAGTGTAACATTTTTTATTGTGGGCCTATTTAGTCTTTTTTTTTTGGTCAAAATTCTGGCCTTTTTTTCATGTGGGCAAAACTGTAAGTGCCATTTTTGACTAAAACTTTGGCCAAAATTTCAGTGCATCACTACTATTTTATGGCATTTTATTATGTTATACATGCACAATGATCCCTTTGGAAAGCCTAGTGTAGTCAACAGGCACTCATGAGAAGTCTATATGCCAGAGAGCTTTATTTATGACCCCTGAACAGGAAGTGAAAGCCATGAACCATAACACATCATTATTCACCACCATTCATAACCTCAACCCCCAATGGCCCTGATCCTTTGAGTGTAAACATCATGCAACCAAGCAGGCAATACAAGATTAAACCCTGCTGACAAGTTACGCAGTGAAGGTTCTTATGGGACCTCATCATGGCTGAGATCCTGCATGGGTGGAACCTCCATGGTGTATGCATTAAACTTCCCTGTCTGCCCTTTCTCAGTGACCTTTCCCAGTAAGCACTCCACCTCTTTCCCACAGCCCGCTCAGGATGGAGGATTTCATTGGGTCATGCTGTACCTTGGCGTGATCACAGAGTCGTAACGTGCAGTAATGGTTCAACCTGAACACTAAACACAGCATGGCAGCTTCCGACACTCCTGACAAGGGCGTTTCCTGTGCATGCACCCCGTCTCCTGCAGCGGAGTCCCCCCTTTTCCTCCTTTTCTTCTACACACAACTGTAAAAGCCTTCACTCTTCTCAGAGCTTCCGGTGCCAAGCAAAGAAAAGCCCCTGGCTGATTTTAACATTGCACAACAAAAGGCTACGGTATGTCTGGTGGATCTGGCCTTGTTATCAGAGCTGTCAAGAAATAATGAACGGTGACAGGATATGTCAGGATGGGAGTCTGCGATGCTGAAAATTTATGAGAAGTGAGTTGCCAGAAAGGATGAGTGGCCAAGACCTTCCTTGCATCCTTGCATGCTCTCTCTCACTCTGGTCCTAAGTGATAAGAGAGCACCTGATTTGCATTCACTCTAAATTTGGGCAGGTTTAAGTGAAGTTGTTAGAATGGCCTTGATCTAGAGAGAACCATGCCTGAGAACACACAACAGTGGGGTAGACCGAGAACAACTGCAACACTGTTTGCACCACCACATAAAAACTGGAGGTGGAAAACTACATTTCGTTTAACTGTCTACTAACAAATTCAGAGTCAAAACGTATGAACATTGAACAAGTATGAAAAAATGCAATGCCCATTTGTTACCATGACAACGAGCATCACGTGAGTCCAGTCAGAGTGAGAGGAGCGGCAGTAAGCAGTGCTTGCATTTTTAATTGCTTTAAAATGATGGCAGACAAACACACTTCACATGGACTTTTTAAAGAATAATGGAAGATGGAGGAAGATGTCATGTCCTGAGTCATATAAGCTGGACGCCAGTCTCCTCAGCAGACCAGTTTCTGCTCCCACCATGTTGAACATTATAAACTTTAACTATGACGCAAACATGCAAAGAACATACTTATACTTCCCAAATGGAAATGTAATCAGATACATGCGTTTACATGGTTATTATTCAT